TCTATAATAAATACGCATGACTTCTGGCCATCAGGGCTGCAGTCTGGAGTTTACTCTGGCTGCAGCCGGCTAAGAACATGCTAAGGGCAGGAGGTCTTAGTCTGATTCCTGTTCACCCGCGTCGCCTCCCGGTGCACCCACCCTGGCTGGGGGTACGGCTCCCGGCAAGCACACGTGCCCTATAGCAAAAATATCTCTGAAAAACAAACACACACAAACATAGGGTCTGTCAGCTGGCGTGATGGTTAAGATAACAGATTCCTACATGGCCAGGCGTAGTTCAAATCCTGGATCTAGGGGATAGTTTTCTCACTTTCCCTCTCTCTCTGGTCAAACTTAATAATAATGATGATGATGATGATAAATAAATAAAATTTAATAAAAAATAATTATTTTTATAATGCAACAACACTGTTACACCTAATCCCTTAATATCAAATACTCGACTCATGTTCTCACTAATAAGCATATAAATGTCATTCTTTCAAAGCTCCATTTTAATCAGGATTTACATAAAATTCATACATTATGGATGTTCTATCTCTCAAAACTCTCAGTTAATCTATAATTTCGCTCTCCGTCTCCACTCCCCCTCGCACCGACTGACAACCCTGAGTCCGCCTGGGCGGCCCCCACAGCCTGGCATGCTCTACTGCGCCCCTGCGGTGCGAACCTGCTTCCTGGTGCCCTGCAACTCCTGAAACCGGCTGGGGGGTCTAGGTGATCATTCATGGTGAATGTCTTTGGCCAAGAGGTGGTGTGTTCGTACATGGGAGGTCTGCACGGCTCGGTAATGTCTCTGGACTGACTGCTATTTGCCTGGCTTAGTTCACTTGCACTGCCGTAACACAACACCTGAGTGGGTGATTTACAACAAACATAAATGGGCTTGGAGGTAAAGGCAGCTGGATCCCGCATGTCTGACTACGTGGCCCACACGGACCCGGCCACTTGAGAACCACACGGAGCATGTGTGCACGTAAGGAGGGGGAGGAGGAGCGCAGCGTGACTCTGCCCATGGGGAGAGCTCCTCCAGCTCTTTCTCTCTGTCTCTCTGGAAAGCACACGCATCCTCAGAAAAAAATTTAAAACTTTTTTTTTTTTTTTTTTTTTTTTTTTTAAAGAACGGAAATGTACTCACTCACAACTGTGAGGGACAGAAAGCCCCATATCAACATGCTGGTAGTAATTTCCCCAGGTCTTCGTGAAACAGAGGGGGTGAGTGAGGAAATCCACTGGGAAACACAGAAAAGATACTACTCTTTCTTCAACGCAAAAATTAGGAGTTTGTTGATCTGACAGCTTTTATTAATCACGTTCAATTAGAGTTGAATGTGCCTCAATTGAGCAAATCTCTTATATGTTATTGGGTTCTCTATCTTCCTATCTACAAAGACTGCGAAACACAACTTCTTGATAGCAAGGACCGAGACTTGCTAGCCAGCGGAAACTCAGTGTCATTAATACAGACTGGTGAGTCACCTAACTAGCTAGAAGATGCACGTGCAGTGGGTAACTTTCATACTCATGAACCTTGTATACCATAGGTACTTAACAC